CACCGGGACACGAACCGGCGACCTTCTAGCTGTGAGGCAACGTTGCTAACCACCGAGCCACCTTGCAGCCCACCATAAACAACACCGTTAGTTTTATCTCACGGGCCAAATATAATTACACTGCGGGCCCAATTTGGCCCACGAGCCGGTGTTTGACACCTAGATAATTCATCAACCACAGTGGAAAACCTGGGGAATCTCCCCTATATCTTTACTCGTGGAAACTTAGCTTTTGTAGTGCAGTGCTTTAGTTGTGAGCCCTCAGAGTCGGCGGTGTTTCCCAGTAGTTGAGATTGAGCTGGTTTGAAAGCATGCAGAAGCGTTGCACTCTGATCAGAGTCATGTTGTCCCGATGCCAAACCCAAAAGCAACCCAAAACGGGACAATAAACAGCATGCATTGCTTGCATGTAAAGAGGTTTTTACAGCTGTCTCTGACATGCTGACACCATGAATGCAGCAGTTTATACAACAGTCTGAGCTGCTTGGTGTTTGAAGCACATTGAAGCAGTAGAACGGCCGCACCACTGCAGATGTTGGTGCAGCGTTTTGCCATCGTGCTGGTTTGAAAGCTCCGTGATAATCTTTCTCTAATTAACTAACTCCTCTTTAAGTTTATCCAGATAATAAGAATCCCTTCACTGAGCTCAGAAAGCCTTGCAGCTTATCTACGTACAGTGTTAAACTCTGTCCACTGGCTTTTGTTTGGGTACTGCATAACTCAGCATAAATCCAGTTAATTGTGTTGAGAAACTCGACCACAGCAAAGAATGCAGCTGACTTCCTGACTGAAGGCCATTCACTGTGGACACAAGAGCGAGCCTGTGGTTCAAGGAGGTTAGGGACATCAGGAAAGTCGTGGCCGCTGCGGTTTCAGACCTTTTGTTTGCTTTTTGTGTTATAGTGTCTGCATGTGGAATTAAACAGTCTGGAGAAACCTGCAACCGGTAATTACACTGGTCATAAGGTTTAATTTTAAAGAGCCATATAGTTTGTGAAAACAGAGGTTTGTGTTGTGTGTCGTGGAGCAGAGCCACAGTGGAGCTGGGGTGGTCTGAGTCTGACTGAGAAAGGAGGTGGGTGTTGCTTTATCTGAAATACAGGAAGTGTGCATTATCCAGCGAAAGAATGGCTCAACTCTTAACTGAACTCCAGTGTTTACTTGACCTGCGGCGAGCAGCAGTCTGGATCTAAAGATAACCTCCAGCTAAACCAACTTTTAATTAGAGGTCCCATAACATTGAGCTTCAAGGATTGTCTGCTCAGATATTACACTATTCGTCGTGGTGTTTTTAAAATAGTCCAATTAAAGTTGTATTTAATGGTTGCCCAGATGCTCGACTTGATAAATCGTAAACCACAGCATCCTGCCTTTGATTCTGGACTGAGACTACTCTTCAGTTTTCTCTCTCACACAAAGCTTCCTGTGTCCAGAGAAAGCTGTGAAACAAACGTAAGGAAAATATCCTTGTTTGTCTTTTCACCTGCACTGTACAGATAGGCTGAGGGTTTGCTTTGCCTCGCTCTGCACAAACACGAGCAGCAGATCCAGAACTGTGCGGCTCACATGTCGTGTCTTGTTTACTGAATAAACAACAATGAGGGAACTATTTGAATACCAACAAACCCTGGGTGTAAAAGTCCTGATCTGACATCGTGGCTGACAAGTTAAACGGTCTCTCTGAACTGTTCTGTCAGCTAAAGCCAGCTGACTGTTGAATGGACAGATTTCAGAGATACAAGAATAAATTGTGAAGTTGCTGAAAGATGATTTTTTTTTTAACTGTTGAGCAAAGTGGGTGGTACATCGTAGAGCATGCACTTGGACACCAGTTTTACCAGAACTGTTATTATATAGGTTCAACATGCAAAGACCTTCATCTTCAGGGTTTTACCCACCGTGACTTGTACGATCATCCTACTTTGAATGTCATGAAGTATAAAGAAATTCCTGTGAATCTTATAGAGCAGGTTTTTATTCCTGTGGATTTACCCCATGATCGTTGTTCTGCAAAAAACAGCTATGCTTGCATACATGACTACACTCGGACCGCCGCTGTAGCTCACCTGGTCGAGATGGGGACTCATGTACAGAGGCTATAGTCCCCGATGCTGTGGCCATGGGTTCAAATCCCGCTCATGGTCTTTTGCTGTAACTCCCTCCCCCACGTTCCCCTCTTTCTTTCAACTGTCCTGTCTAATAAAGGCCAAAAAAGTAACTTTAAATACATGACAACACTGAATGCATAGTATATGTGAACTATTTGCTGCAGAATGTNCCCAAAACCTGATGACGTTGTGTCCTCTTCGGCCTTTTGACATCAGAGTCGGGGGCTTCTGAATGAATGCTCAGCTTGTTTTTTTTTTCATTGTACAAAGGATTATAACATCAATCCGAGTGTGCTACTAAGTGAGTCACCTCGTCACAGATGCAAATGACCCCTGTTTTACACCTAACAACCCCACTCAGTGTGCTGGAGTGAATGCATTTATTGTCTGCTCCTGTTGCTCCCGGCTCCCAGCACAAAGACAGTGTGGGTGTATTGTGGCGATGAATGGTGTTGTGTTGAAGCCTTTGTGTGTGTTTGTATGAATCTTTGAAGAGGGCTTTTGCAGAAAAATTATTTGCTTTACGCACAGTCGATGATTTTTCAGTCACCAGGATCATCAAAACGTGCTGGTGAAAGGGTGCTAAACTCCTCCTGATTGTGTCTGCAGGTGATGCGTCGTGTACGTGAGCTGACGGAGAAGCTCTGATGGTGACAAAGGAATTCCAAACTCCGGTAAAGTCCTCGCCCGTCTTCCCTCAAAGGCTGCACTGATGTTTTCGCTGGGTCAAGAAAACATCCCCACCTCCCCTACGTCCACCAAAGGACCGGTCAAATATGGAGAGCTCATTGTGTTGGGGTAAGATGTTCACCCA